GTAAAGCAGTAAGTTTGTAATTGCATACTTCTAAGTGCATGTTTTGTGACAATGTCACAATGTTACTTAACGTTAGACGTTAGCCTGCAGTGTTTTGAAGTGAAGCCAACAGTGAGATCAAACTTGACTTCAAGAGGAAATCTGGTGGCCTGTGCGCGTACTTAGTGAGAAGGTGTAATGCTATTGAAAAGATGTCAGCACTAATTCAGTTTACGCTTCTGTGCGCTGTAGATGCTGCATCTTCTTTCCTTTGCTTTTCTGGAACCTTTGTAAATTAATGTGAAGGGATTGTGTTGGAGTAGCTACAGAAGCTTAAATCTGGGGAAAATCCTAATGAAATCTTTCTCCCTCTTTCCCCAAACACAAGGATCTAAGTTTTCAGAAGTAATTTTGTGTAACCAACTGGAGATACTTTAGAAGGGGAACTGATTTTCAGGAACTGCCAAACCACTCAAAAGTGGCCTTAGTTTGACTTGAGGAAAAAGGGGTTCAGCATCTGTATGGGGCAAGTTCTATCACTCGCTGTTTAGCGGAATGTTAAATAGAATAGCAAAAATCAGGGAGTGCTTTTTGGAATGTTTTTCCTAGCTTCCTCCCAAACAGTGCTGGGATACACAGTTTCTGTGGGAGGCAGATTATGCTTTTCAATCTCAGGAGTGCCTTTTCGACTGTTGAGGAGAGACAGGCTGTTAAAGAACCAGCTTCCTATGGAAGCAGCAAGCGCAGTCTTGGTATATGTTGGTTATGCAGAAAAAGAAGATATAGCTGGTTTAAAATACCCTTTCAGCCTCACTTGTTCTAGATAATATCTTTGCAGGGGAGAAGTTATGAAGGTAATGCAGTTATTAGAGATAAAAATGAAATCATGGTATGTAGGGCTGCATTTGACTTTAAACTGCTTTAATGGATGATAAACTAATAGATCTTGACAAGCTGAGTAGTCTTACGTTTGCTCCTAGCTGGGGGTTGTTTGGGCCTATTATTATTTTTTGGCAAAGTGTGGCCTCCTGCATAGCTGTAATGTGATACTCCAAAGCATATCCTGTCACTTTCAGTGTGTGTTTGCAATAGTAGAGCATGCAATACTTCCTTTTTAATATGCTAAATATTATGCCCTCTGGAGACAGTTGGATGGTTTAGGTGTATAGGTGAAGGACAACAACAAATTGCAGTGCCTATGGAATGTCTGGGGCTCGTGGATGTACTTGGACCACTTGCTTAAAAATGGCTTGGAGTGATGGAAATTGAGTTGTTAATTCATAAAGGTGCTAACAGATTGCTTACCAAATGAACACAGGGGTTACTGAGTCACAATATGTGGCCTTTGCAGGCTAATTCAACTTTAGCTTTGTGCATGTGTATTTGTAGCTTTATGTCGTAAGGACTCTCTGCACGTGCCTTAGAAACGAACATGCTCAAGTAATATCTGCATTACTATGCCATACTTGTGATTGTAATACAGGTTTTTTGTTGGTTGGTTTTTAATCGATTAATGAAGGGGAAGAATGCTTCTTGTTAGAGCAAACATGAGAGGTTGCTCTCATCTGAGTATCTTGCTCTGGCACTTGATAGCGTGCAGAATGGACTTCACTGTACCCAGAGTTTGCTGCTGTTCTGGATATTCCCTGATGCATCTTTTTGTCCTTTAGGCATGTTTCATCATCCTTCAAAGGTCAGAAAGCAACTTCACTTTTTTCCACCCAGCTATTCAGTTTGGAGTGTTTCTGTCTCCAGCCAGTTTTCTAAAGCTGAATATTTAAATAACTTTTTGGTGGTTAGGTTAGGTTTCCTTCCCTTCCCTTCCCTCCCCACCCCCAATAAAATCATTTGGAAAGCTAGAGTTCAGTCTGACAGACCTTTGAAGGCTGTAATCAAAATGCCAAAATAAGGAAGTTTGGGTTTTTTTGTGGCTATTCTCAAGTAAGAACTGTTTTTTCTGCTCTTGACTCCAGTTCAAATGAAGTACAGGTTTTTCAGGTGACACTTCTGATATTTTAATCGCACCGTGTTCATTCAGGGAAGGAAAAGCACTTATATAATTGTTCAAGTTTTGTGCAGTCTTGTTATTTCTAGTCAAGTTGATATGAAATATTGCCCTGAGAGCTTCACAAGAGATACAAGTGGGATTGTTTCATTATGGAGGAGAACATGAAACTAACACTTTTATTTCTCGTAGGCCTGAGGATACGCTTCTCTCCATAGGTAAAGCCCTCTAGTTAGGTTCCCGTTGTATGCTCCTCTTCTGTTGCTATTGTTGATCTTGGTGGGTTTTCTTCACGTTTCAGGTCAGCCAGAACAACATCACCATGATGTCATCCCCATCTCCCGTCCAGCAAGCTCAAACTCCCCAATCGATGCCGCCTCCACCACAGCCATCTCCTCAGCCAGGCCAGCCAACCTCTCAGCCAAACTCAAATGTCAGGTGAGCTAGACTCTCATTTCTGAGGAGCTTTGTCAATACTGTAAGAGTGAGATTTTTGAGAAACATTCAGCATACCTTACTCTGTTTCCATTGAAGTGAATGAGTCTTAACGTGAACTTTAGTGAGAAAACAGGTGAGTGAGCTGAATGCTCTTTGAAAATTTCCATTTAAAGAAAGATGTTGTGTAAGAAATTCTCACAAAGTTATATTGGCAGAGTTAGTGTCACAGTAATGCTTACTGAAGCATATTTGCTCACAGGCTGATCATGCCTCCTTGCCAGACTCTGGCAAGTCTGATTTTTTATTCTTATTTTTTCAGCTCTGGCCCAGCTCCATCACCTAGCAGCTTTCTCCCTAGTCCATCTCCACAACCATCCCAGAGCCCAGCAGCTGCACGAACGCCTCAGAACTTTAGTGTCCCATCCCCAGGTCCTTTAAACACTCCAGGTAAATCATCTGAGAACTATACTGCAGACCATGAATTGGTATATGTTTTGGTACCTGTAATAGTTCCCGGGAAACCTATCATTGCTTGTAGAGCTCTGCAGACTAGCCAGCACTTCAAGCAGTAGACGTGCTGCACAGACCACGTACGCAACAACATGAATCAAAATCAACTTAAGCCTGGTTTCTCATTGCTGAACTGTATAAATTTGGTTTTGACTTCATTGTTTTGAGAAAAGAATGGTGCTTATTTTAGTTGGGCAAAGTAATAGAGATGTAGTGATTCTTTAGTTCCATGCAGAAAGGAACCCTTAGCAACAGCTTACAATTGTAAAGGATCTAATGACTTAATGAGAGGCAGGCAGGCTGCCTGCCACCACAGACAAGTATTTAATCATGCTGCTTTACTCTAGAACACCTTCCTAGATGTACTCTGACACTTGTGCTCTTATCTCTCCCAGATGCGATAAGCAGGTTCCAATACTGTGAAAAGAAGTAACATCATACTGGCTCCTTCTCATACCTCAATGTCATATGCTCTGCAGTCTGGAAAGCATTGACCTAAGGAAAATTGCAGCAAATTCAGTGTGTTGATTTAGTGAATAAGGTACCAGAGTAAAGGCAAAATGAGGACCTAGGATATGGGTATATAAACCTTTGGACTTTTTCAGGCAAAACTGATATTAAACGGGAATTGAGATTATATCCACAAAACATATTGTTTCTACACAAAGGTTAGAGGGTTGAACAAGCACATACAAACTATGGAGGGCATCTGATGGTGGATTTGGGTATTTGAGTATCTGACCTGAGCTACACTTGAGTCGCCATGTTTCAGATCTAGATTCTGAAATATGACAGTACTGTTCTGCAGCATCTTCTGTCATCCATGTTTTGTGCAATCTTTGCTTGCCAGGAAATCCAAATTCTGTCATGAGTCCAGCCAGTTCTAGCCAGTCAGAGGAGCAACAGTATCTGGAGAAACTCAAACAGCTGTCAAAATACATTGAGCCGCTCCGGAGGATGATCAATAAGATAGACAAAAATGAAGGTGAGGTCCCCTATACTTAGTCATGTGTCTCTCCGTCAGCCTTGATGGAAGAAGCAGTACATTGCCTTCTTGTGATGGCTTCTATTCCAGGGATTAAAAATGACAGTAAATTTAGTTGCTCTTTTTTCCCTGATGACTATAAAGATTTTTACTATGAAAAGTTGGCAAAATCTTCATCCTTAAAGTCCTGTTAGTTTTCCTTTACTTCTGATTTTTTTGAGACGCGGTCTGATAGAGCTTACACAGTGAACGTATTTATGGTAAGATGAAAAACTTTGATCCTCACTACTTTCTTCAGTGTGGGCTCATGTTTTCACTTTTACCAGTATCCTGTACTTCTGCGAGGCTGGAAACTGTTCTTGTAGTCAGTGTATCTTGTTTGTCTCTCTGATGATATTTCAGATAGGAAGAAGGACCTGAGTAAAATGAAGAGTCTTTTAGATATCCTGACTGATCCTTCAAAACGGTAACTCTTTTTGCTTTTGGCTGGACATCAGTCTCCCCAGCTCTTCCAGAAATTACCCTAAGAAATAAATCACTTAAGCTGAGTAAAATGTCAACACTGCCGCAGGGCCCAAGACACACTGTGGTGAGCAGGGATGTAGTCTGCGATCTTGTAATACCCTGCAGGATCCAGGCATAGTTTTTAATCCTGGCATTCAATTTATTTAAAATATCAACTGGTAAAGCTTTTCAGGGATTAAATTAAATATTTCAGAAGCGTTTTGGGATTTGACCTTTTATGTACTAGAATGTGATCCATTCTAAGGTGCTAGATTCCTGAAGCAATTTGTTTAGCATCCAGGTAGGCTGGCATTGCAGCAGCCTGTGTAGCTCAGGCAGCAAGAACTCTTGAGTGGAGGAGACCCTTTTTGGTGATGAAATTTTACCTCTTCTGCAGATGCCCTCTGAAGACATTACAGAAATGTGAAATTGCTCTGGAGAAGCTCAAGAATGATATGGCTGTGGTAAGTAGTGCTTTGCATTAGCAGGAAATAGGACTTTTTGGAAATAATTATCTGTGATTTGGCAAAATAATTGTTTGCATTTCTTGTTGCTCATGCTATTATGGCTTGAAGTAAGGTTGGACAGAATAAGGTTGGACAGAAAAAATGGGCAAGCATTTGCTTCATTATGACTAAGTCTCCTTGTCTGTACCTTTTTAACTGAACTTTCAATTTCTTGTGCTTTGTAGAAGCACTCTTGAATAATTCTTTCTAAGAACTTTGGCAGCTGATTTTGGGATAACTTCCTAAATGAAAGCTACAGAGTCTTTTTTGTTATGTTACTGAGTACACAGTTCTGAGAATCCTTTGCATTGGAAGTTCACTCTTAAAAAATTTTGCAGAATCAATAGTAGATGACATCTTGTGGTGAATAAAATAAGAGGGACTTTTCTTGTGTTTCAGCCTACTCCACCGCCTCCCCCAGTGCCCCCCACCAAACAGCAATACTTGTGTCAGCCACTTTTGGATGCTGTCTTGGCCAACATCCGTTCACCAGTCTTCAACCATTCCCTTTACCGCACCTTTATGCCAGCTATGACTGCAATCCATGGCCCGCCGATCACGTATGTATCATTGCCCTGCTGTGTTAAATGTTCATTATTTAACGAAAAGTTACTCCTTTATTCGAACTACTGAAAGAACGGATGGGTGTATTGAGGTGTATGTGAGGTGACCTTTCTGTTTTACAAACAAAATACTTGAGAATCATGTGGCCTTGGCATAAAGTTTTTATCTAGTCCTTTTGTGGACTTTTTTTGCCTAGGGCCCCAGTTGCTTCACCTCGAAAGCGGAAGTATGAAGAGGATGAAAGACAGACCATACCAAATGTCTTACAAGGGGAGGTGGCAAGATTAAATCCTAAATTCCTGGTCAATCTGGACCCCTCCCATTGCAGTAATAATGGCACGGTTCATCTCATATGCAAGCTAGGTAAGCAAGAGAAAAATAAGGGCTAAGTTAAAGTATTGATTTTGATTCTAGAAGAGCAGTCTTGAGGCTTGTCAGCCTGTGGATTCTACATGAAGTCCTTACTTGCCAGAGCTATAGTAATGCTTAATTGTGACATTCTGTACAGCCTGCTACAGGGTGCATCTGGAGACTTCATTCATCCTGAATGAGGCCACTGGTTTTGTCCTTTAGTTTTTCTTTAAATAGGAAATTATTTGTTCAAAATATATTAGTCTTTATGCTTCAGAGAAGCCTATTTCTCCCAGTTGTGCTGTGGTACTACTGCTGTGGTAAAGGAGGGTAATATTTAAGTTATTTCCAAATAGAATGCCATTTTCCTGTGCTGAAATACTAGCATTGTTCTTTTCTCTGTATGTGTTTTACTGACTCATTAATTTGGATCCAAACAAAATCTTCATGCCATCTGTATTCCTGGTAGTGTGAAGTAGTTTGTTTGTAAACATAGCATTATTTTTGTTTTTGCATATCAGTTGCCATTATGGGAGTAACTGCAGCAGTGCAGTGTTTAGTTGCTTCACTGTAGAAGAACACTGAACAGTCCTGCCTTTGCACTGCGGTGGCAGCGCATAATCTGATTTGGTGTTAAGGAAGTTACTGTTGCCAGCAACAATCATGATTCCTGATTTGGTCTGATACTGATTTTGGCCTTAGCGATACGTGAGAGTTGTTCTGTCTCTTAACAACTAGGACAGAGTTAGAGAAATGGCTAGTTAATTTTTGGGAGGGGTTATTTCAGTTTGTACTAATGATCACTGACAATAGTGAATGCTGGAAAAAGGAATTTAGATTTCTTCTTTCCTGTCTCTGCTGAATAAGCAGAAAGTGTTATAGACTGAGCTTGTTTTGCTCTTGGATTCAAACAGGGAAAATTTTTTTTTTTTTTTTTAGTTTGAGAAATGTGAACTTTTGTACTAACGTTCAGGACCAGAACAGGAATTTAATGTTCACAAATAAGGCATCTATCTTACTGAAGTTCAGCTGATGAAATGGTGAGATTATCAGGGTGCAGAAATGTGTGAGAGATGGAGCTGTTTGCCAGGCTTTTCTTCCAAGAAGTTAGGAATGTTTTTAAAGTGAGTAATGAGATTGCCTTCCAATAAAAATGGAGACTTACAGCCTGGTTCCTCTTCAGGCGGAGAGGTTAGAAACCAAGCTGACTTACGCACCAAAAAAAACCCTCCGTACGTGAAGATGTGCTTCATTCTGATGGGAAGTGTGTTTACATTCTAGATGACAAGAATCTTCCAAATGTCCCACCGCTACAGCTCAGCGTTCCAGCGGACTACCCAGATCAAAGCCCTCTGTGGATAAAAAACCCGAGACAATATGGTATGAGGATGCTAGTGTGATGTTTGTTTGGCACGTGTTACGTGGTGGTGGTGGGAAATGGGAACACCTGGTGTTACTCATCTTTTTTTTTTTTTAATATAACCCTGTTTATCTGTTTTATTTTCCAGCAGCCAATCCCTTTTTGCAGTCAGTGTATCGGTACATGACTTCAAAACTATTGCAACTTCCAGACAAGCATTCAGTCACTGCACTCTTAAACACCTGGGCACAAAGTATTCGTCAAGCCTGCCTGTCTGCTGCATAACATCTCACTTCCTAAATCATGAAGAAAAGGAATAGGGTCTCGACAGCTGGCCTCTTCCGCATGCCACTGGAAAATCACAGGCATTTTGGGGAGGGTATTTCAGAAGAAAGAAGCCTTATATTGTTTTGTTTCTAGGTGTCAGGTTCAGTAGAGAACCTGGTGTTAGATTAGCTTTCATGCTTTTTATCTTCTGCCTCTGTGGACTTTTGCCAGCATTTTCAAATATACAATGTGTATATATGGTTCTTGAGACTGTATTAGGAGGAGCTTTTATTGTCTTCTTAGAGAAGAAATTATTTGTGGACTTCCGTCAGGGAGTCTGACTGATATAAGAGGGAGCAGGGGGAGAATGTCCTAGTTTGCTTCAAAGTTTGCCCGGTGTCAGTATTCCTTTCACACTGTGTATTTTGTGACCTGATATTGCCCCAGGAGTAAATTAGCTGCAGCTAGAATGTGCTCACAGACTTCCCAGTGACTGCAGGAATATTTTGCCTGTTAGCTTTGCCCAGAAACAGGATAAATGAGGGCCTTCAAGGGCATCCCTCAAATATGTGAGGTTAATCTGAATAATTACATTGTGGGGGACCAAATATAGGAAAAGATATTTTATAGCTTATTTTAAACACTACTTTGTATAACGGTTTTTGGTTAGCGTGGACCATGTGTTTCCCGCTCCAGAAGTGAGATGATTAGGAAGAGGGGATATGAATGGGTGCACTGACTTCCCCTATAAGCACAGTGTATGTGTGGGTACTGGAGGGATCCTCCCTACCCCAACTGTTTAAAGCGCCAGTACCATGAATCAATCCAGCAGGCTTGTTAGCTACATATCTTCGTATGTATGTTTTCTAGGGGAAAGCCGGTCTGAAGCATTTGACTTCCTAGGGGAGTTGATGCAGGTCAGTGGAAGTGCTTCCATACTACATCTGTTTGGGGGGGAAAAAAACAAACAAACAAAAACCAAAACTTAGCTCAGGAGTAGAAGTCACAACTGATATTTTGTGCCTTGAGCAATGAGGGGCACTCAAGTTTGTCATCAGCTGCCTTATTGTTGGGCACTTCCAATGAAAACACTTGCAATGAGTAACTAATTTCATGTATAGTATGATTATTTTTCCCATGCTTGTAGGTTGTTGACTCTTAATTTTCTGCTGCAGGGGAATTTCAAGTTTCAGGTGTTCCCATTGTATCCTGCTCCATCTCCCTGTATTGTGCAGCAAAACCTAAGGAGTAGCTGGACTCTCTTACAGTAGTGTCAAGAAATTGCTATGACCTTTGTAAATCTGTGTGGTGTCATCAGTTTTAGGATATTTTTAAACGTGGGTACTTAGTAAGCACTGACTGAGGCAGCGGAATGCTATCAGTATTTTGTACATGAACTAATGCATTATCTGTTTGTTTTTATTGTAATAAATTTATTATTATTCCTGTGTTGGATGCTAACATTATACTGCTCTTCCCACATTAATTCTTAGATACCAGTTCTGTTGTGTCCATTGGATGATGGTTACTTTGTTCGATGGTAAGTGGAAATTCATACACTTTGAAGGTTAGGGGGAAAAAAATCATAAATGGTTCTTTGTTCCATGCAATATTATCTTTACTGTCCTCATAATGACCTGGAAGACCTGGTCAAGAGTTTAGTAATGATATCTACAAATGGAAGATGTAGCTTTTTAACCAGTACTATTACATGGCCATCTCCTACCTTATGGAGAATGAAGCAGTGGCATCACTACTGTTCTAGTGGAGAGATGTTCACGTCACACAACTTGTGTGTCTGGTTACTATAGTGCATAATCAAGTCATAAGCCAAGAAAGGAGGATGGAGATGGTTGGATTTTTTAGCTACTGCCAGGCTGCCACACTGAGACATTTATAGTATTCATTTCTTCAGTTTGGCTAAAACACATGTGCAGACAGATGCAAAGGACATTGTTGGTGGATTGAGAACTGGCTGGATGGCAGAGCTTAGAGGGTTGTGGTCAGTAGCGCAGTCTAGTTGGAGGCCTGTAGCTAGCGGTGTCCTCCAGGGGTCAGTCCTGGGTCCAGTCTTGTTCAACGTATTCATCGATGACCTGGAGGAAGGGACAGAGTGCACCCTCAGCAAGTTTGCTGATGATACTAAACTGGGGGGAGTGGCTGACACACCAGAAGACTGTGCTGCCATTCAGAGGGACCTGGACAGGCTGGAGAGACAGGCAGAGAGGAGCCTCCTGCAGTTCAACAAAGGCAAGTGCAGGTTCCTGCACCTAGGCAGGAATAACCCCATGCACCAGTACAGGCTGGGGGTTGACCTGCTGGAAAGCAGCTCTGCAGAGAAGGACCTGGGAGTCCTGGTGGACAAGTTAAGCATGAGCCAGCAATGTGCCCTTGCGGCCAAGAGGGCCAATGGGATCCTGGGGTGCCTGAGGCAGAGTGTTGCCAGCAGGTGGAGGGAGGTGATGCTCTACTCAGCCTTGGTGAGGCCTCACCTGGAGTACTGTCTCCAGTTCTGGGCTCTCCAGTACAAGAGAGACATGGCACTCCTGGAGAGAGTCCAGCGGAGGGCTACAAAGATGATTAGGGGACGGGAGCATCTCTCCTATGAAGAAAGGCTGAGAGAGCTGGGCCTGTTCAGCCTGGAGAAGAGAAGACTGAGAGGCATTCTGATCAACGTGTACAAGTATCTGAAGGGAGGGTGTCGAGGATGGGTCTAGACTCTTCTCCGTGGTGCCCAGCGACAGGACAAGAGGCAACGGGCACAAACTGAAACACAGGAAGTTCTATCTGAACATGAGGAAAAACTTTCCTGTGAGGGTGACAGAGCACTAGAACAAGTTGCCCAGAGAGGTAGTGGAGTCTCCTTTGCTGGAGGTGCTCAAAACCCGCCTGGATGTGTTCATGGGCAACGTGCTCTAGATGACCCTGCATGAGCAGGGAGGTTGGACTAGATGATCTCCAGAAGTCCCTTCCAACCTTGGCCATTCTGTGATAATGTAAACATCCTTCAGGCTTTTACAGTACCTTCTCTAGTGCAGTTTTCACAGCTGTCATTGCAGTACCTTTCAGTTTTTCTTCAAACAGAATGGAATGAGATGTTACTCTAAAAGGGTGGGATAGGGGGAGGTATCCCAGCACACAGCAACATCTCAGTTGGACATGCATCATGGGAACTGTTAAGTGGGCCATATACCCCCTAGAATGTCAAAGGAGTGACTGGGTGACAACATAACTGGGTTCCTTTTCAGTTGTTTACAGATCTTGTGAAAATAATAACAACAGAAAAACACAAATCCTTGAAAAGATGCACCAAAATGGGTATAAATAGTCATTAATGTTTGGGTGCTTTATCAGGTGTGGGGGCATTAAAGATGAATTCAGAAAATGCCCCTATTATGAAAAATCTACCAATTCATGTATTTCAGAAAAAGACAAGAATACGCATTTTTGCAAATAAGTTGTGAAATCCGTAACGGAGGTCTGATCCTTTCCTTTCTTTGAATAAATGACAGACAAAACGAATTCATAATCAACTTTTACTTGAAATGATGTGGTAATAGCAGCTGAAGAATTTATCATGAAAACGTGGTGTCAACTCTCAAAGCAGTCATAAGGGAATAAGATGAAGAATGTTGAATTAAAGCGCAGTTCGATGAAGACGGCTTCTTTGAATAGCCTGAGTTCTTTTCTGTCTCTCAACAAAACCGCTCCCCAGCGTTTGTTTCAGAGGTGGCAAAATTGCCTTTTTTGTAATAGGCGCTGGAGCAGCAATCAAACTGCAGAGAGGAATGCAGCAAATCAATGGCATTGTGGTTACCCAAACCCATTCTCTTTTTACCTAGGAAAGGTACTGGGCTAGGGTCACTGTCCTACTGCTGAGCTTGGTGATTTTGTGTGGCAGACTGTCCTAGATAGCATAGTGTTCTGTCTGGCTAATTAGACTTAACTGCAGTGAGAAGTTCTTCCCACAAAGCTTTGGTGTTTTGAATGAACTGTTGTTTTGAATTGTTCTTCATGAAGAAAAGATACTGTTTTATTGGCTATTCCCCTGCTTTTCCAAACGTGCTGTCTGAGGCATACATTTTCTGTGTTTAAAATCTAGCTATGTATAGCTTTGCTATATGAGCTGCCCTGATGCTGTGCAGCAGGTCCATCAGTAACACCCGAGTCCAACACAATAGATCCTGCCTTTTGGCTCCCCAAGGCTGCTCAGTCTTGCTAGGCTGTCAAGCCTGGTTGCTAAGGGCAGAGCATAGGGGATATGCTCCTGCATGGCACACCCTCTGGGAATTACTGTGCTAGGGAATACACCTTGCACTGCCTTGAAGCACCACACTGGACTCATCCTTCTCCCACTACGCTTCTATAAATATTCATGCACTAATATTAGCATGAATTAAGCTTTATCTGCATTAAGTAGGCTTTTATAATACTTTGAAATGAAGAGGGACTTTTTGCGCTGCTTTAAAATTGCTAAATATAACATTGCGAACCTGAAGTTTTTACAGGACAGAAACTAGTTTCTTACAAGCACAGGATTATAAGTTAATGTAATTGACTTGATTTTTCTAGTTCTTGAAAAATAATTCCCTATTCCTTAAATTACTTTTTTCTTCAGCTTTAAAAAGATGCACTTCTGTCACTTGCTTTCCAAGGAGGTCAGGTGCTTCATTAAAAGGCATTTCGGGGATGGAAGGCGAAATGTCTGATCTCATACGCGCAAAGGTGGTTCTTACTCTCTACCTCTCCTTGATAGCATTTTTGGCTTAGAACAGCAGAAGAAACCCAAGCAGAGGATCTGATCTTGGGTGGAGTTCTGTTTTTTTCATAAACTTGTAATGGCCACCCTCTTCTCTAAAAGTGGCAATATTCATTTTCTGATACACATTCATGCAAACTGCTAGTTAACTGCATTGACTACTCTTACTTTTCTTTGGTGTAGTTATCTTGCAGAACATGGTGATGCATAAATGTAGGAAAGTGTATTTTTCTCCTTCTTCTACAACTATTAACTGCCATGAGAATACAATGTGAAAACTGCTCTGACCTGGTTCATTTTGAGCAAAGAAAAAGGGGGTTTTGTTTGATCACCTTTTACAAGCAAAAGCTCATCATAGAAGGTATGAAATGCACTTGAGAGACAATATAGCTAATGCTGTCATATGTGCTAATAGAACTGAGTATGTATTAGTGGTCTAAATGAACTTTCTGTTGTTCTGCTCTGGTAAGAGCAGTGTTTTACCTCCTAAAGAGACCTGTATTTTATCATTCTTCCTCTCCATTTTTTCACCTGTATGAGATTTGTGAGTTTTTTTGAGACTAGTGTCTCATATGGAAGGCACCTTATTAAAGCACCAAATATTTGAGAGAGGCTACAGGAAGCAGTACACTTCCTATTATTTGAGTCTTGCATATTAATCTTTGAGAAAGAGGGACATTTAATGAATATACAAAGGCAATTTTTGAATTGAGTAGATAATTTCTCTGTGTGTATTCCTCTGAAGTGGTGACAGGGCATTAAAAAGGAATTCATTTATCTGAAATGACGTTCCCTGAATTTTTTTTAATCCTTTGAGGTCATCTGGGCTCATCCTTCATGCAGTCCTGCTGAAAAGGGAGAGAGTTGGACTGGGAGGTGTTAAAATTGTGCAAGAAGAATGAATTTTGGACTTGTTTTTAAGTTTGATAGGATTTCTCAAAGTAAAGATTGATCTTCCATGGTAAGCAACCAGTTCTATTATATAGCTGTAACTTTTTTTTTTCTTTTTTTAGTACTTACCATTTCCTAGGTTTATCCTTGTGTGACACTTTGGGCAGGCGTGTGACTTCTGGATTCCTGAATAAAAATGTTTGCAGATACATACTTTGGTTAACTTGCTAAAGAACAAAAAAGAAAGCAGTGGTTCTGCTGGCCCGCTAACAAAGTTTTGGGAACAACTGTATGAATTCTACTTTGGAGGCAGCCGAATGTGTGTGCAGGTTAGGCACTGAGGGACAGGAGTCCTTCAGATGCTGTTCCCCAGCATCTGAGAAGGTGAGTTACAGATCTGGGTAACTTGCTAAATGGAGCCTACTCAAGTTCTGTGTTCAGTGCAGCCAAATAGATGCTGTCCTTAAGCACAAGAGTTTAAACCATGCCTCTGCATAGGGATTGCATTGTAGATGGCAATGGTTTAAAAGGATCTGAGGTTCACAATGGAAAAGAAATTGGACCTGTGTTCCCAGTGAGGTGATACAGGAAGACACATTAGCTTAGAAAACTAGAGGAGGTGTAGAAAAGCTAGAAGTCTTAGAACTAATCTCTTACTGTAAGAGATTCCAAATAACTAAAATTGGTTTCGGGACAACTAAAGAACACATTACTCTTTCCTGAACTGAGGAACTTGATAGTGCTGAGTCTTCCTGTAAATACACTACGCTGCAGGGCTTTTGAGCTGTTTTTCGAGTTTGGCACAGAAAAGATGTAACAAAAGCTAATGGCTGGAAACTGGAGTCAGATTCTACGTAGCCAATGTTTTCATAAAGTGATGTAATATTTTGAACAATCTGCTTAAAGAAATGAACAAATTCCTTACTCTAATTTCTTGTCTTCAAGAGAACTGCAGATCTATTGCTAAAACTGAATGAGTAATGGTGTAGATTGTGTGTGACTGTGTGTATTTAAAAACAAAAAAAACCCACAAACTACTAATTTCTGACTGGAGGAGAGGAGTAATATGAGTTAAGAACCCTAATTAACTATTCTTGGGTGCTTGCTTTTGCTCGGTTTTCCTTATCGCTTGAGGCAGCGGCCAGCCACCTTGAAGAGTGTCATATCTTTTAGCATGAGGAAATGGGCTCTGTCATACTAAAGAATACATTAAAATAAACATTAACATTCTGATTCTCTGGGAAATGTTTTCCAAGGGAGGGAACTGACCTCCAACTGGAACTTAATGGAACTTTTAGACTTTTCTTTCCAAAACCTATTGTTCTCTAACTGTGGTAGCCTAAGCAAATAAATTATCTAACAAGACAAGTGGCAACTTTTTTTTTTTTTTTACACACACATGTATGCACACATACATACACCATTAATGTGGTGCAGAATTTGCTCTGTGAGTCTGAATGTATGTGGCATTATACATAAGATAAGTATGTGTATAAAAATCCTTTAAACCTGAAGTGGCTGGGAGGTTTGACTGACAGGGATACCCAGAGCTTAATTTTTGTGTGTGTCCTTTTTTTTGGTTGGTTGGTTTTGCGCTTTCACAGAAGTTTGCTAAAATGAGAATTTCTGAATTACTTTTATCTGTACAACTTGCATCTCTGCTTTCCATTTAACATCATGCAAATTTCTTGGGAGGAAAAATAATTTTAAAAAAATCTATCCTTCCCCTTCAATTTTATATAGAGCAGGACATGAGCCAACGCCTCTAGAATTTGTTTAATTTTCTTGAACTGACTTAGAAGAGCTTACCCAATTTGACTGGTGATTAAATAGTCTCCAGGAATCCTTTTGGTCTTGTGGATGTCTTCCAAACATGATTTTAGATACGCTAACTGAGGAACAGAGAGGAGAAAAGCTACCATTCTGCGTTTTTCTGGAGACTTGTAATTCGTCACAAACAACGTGGCTTTTGACAGCTGAGAGTAGAGCATGGACTGAACCTGGTATAGGCTCACCTGTTGGGCCTGCATCTGATTGATGCTCCAGAGCTGGCGAATGATTGCCTGACACTCTCCCACTGTTGGTGGCTTCCAGTCCCAGGAAGGAAGGGCATTTACCAGGAAGGAACTCGAAGAGGCTGCTGGTATTTGAGTTGTCGTACATGTAATCTGACTTGTCAGTGAAGCTACTGGGGATGTAGCTTTATCAGAAACTCTGTGTTCTCTAAGAAAGCGTACACAATTAACAATCAGATCAGTTTACTTTGTAACGCTGTCTGGCTATGCAGCTTTGTGTAAAGATGGAAATGGAATTACGCTTAAGACGTTAAGACACTGGGCAGTTCAGAGGTATGACTAAATATATACATTTTGGGGAACTGAAGCACTTTCCCACACTTTCTCTAGTAAAGCTGGCTTGTAAAAAGATGCAGCATTTAAGCTCTCCTCTGATCAGGCCTTTTCACTCTGAGTCTATACCATTCGCATCATGCAAAAGCAATTAAATTGTGTTGTACCCTCAAAGCTTATCCTTGATCACTGCTCAATTTAGATGTTACAGTAACTTACTTTCTCACCTCCATTAAGTCCCTCTCTTTGACATTCCTCGCGTTAAGCGGGTCTACATGGATGGACAGTACTCATATGCAGCAGAACTCACATTGGTTGATTCATGAATTGTTGCATGCTAGTAAGCTGGTCATACCTGGGAGGAACTTCCTCAGTTAACTTTTCCATACGTAGGCTGGGTAGCTCTGACTCTCCAGGCACTACCTGAACTGCACTTTGTTCATGCTTCCTGGATTGTTTTATTTGTAGTCTCTGTTTTAGGAAATGCCGAGAAGCTGTAGAGTTACCTGTTTAAAAGTGTAACTTGAATATTTTTTGCAGAAAGGGAGGAGCAGCGACAGGCTTGCAACAGGCATGGAGGCCTTAGCATCCTCTAGTCAGAAGTATTAAGCAGGCTCTGGGAGTCTGCAGCAGATTGATGGTATTAAATTTGCACAGGATTAGGTTGGAGAGCACAGGTCACTTTCTAGGGATCTTATTTTGTGCATTTTAAAGTAGGGTTTTTTTGGCTGAATTTGGAGAAACATAAAGCAATTTATGGAGTCTAAATAGTTCACTTGTATGATTAGTGAAGTGTGCCTGATAAAATTAATATAAGCAGTAACAAGGCCTCAGAGGTAGTAAGGACACAGGATTAATCAGTAAAAAGAAATGTCTTATTTGATTACCCATTTCTGACACTTCCACTACCTCAAAGGTAAATCTTTCATTTTTAGCAATCTTACATGCTGAACAGTGCCTTGAACTGGTCTTTGCAGAAGATGAGGTAGAAATTGCATTGTCTGCAAAAAAAAAAAAAAAGAGAAAAAAGAGAGAGAGAGACAGAGAGAAATGTTGACCTGAGCCCTACGGCTGCAGAGCTGATTATGGCAGAAGTCTGGACTGGGAGTTTAAGCAAACAAATTTGCAAAGTCAAGGCCTACAAGTATTAGAGTTGCTGGTCAAAGTTGCAGCAAGACAATATCTACGGCATCACAGAAAAACAGTGACTAGTAAGTAGAAAAGAGCTTTATTTTTGTAGATTCACATGGAACATGTTGAGCATGTGACCCTGATACAGGTCTAAGGCTCAAGCAAAATGGTGGAATTTTTTGTTAGCAAAATCTGATTATTTCAGGCTTATTTTTATGATATTGAATGCTTTGACTTGTGTCAGAGTTGGGTCATGCTATTCTGTTTACCTCCGTTTAGCTTATAGCTGTTTTCTTACTGAAACTGATTTAATTAGTTATCTCTGATCTCATACTCTACAAGTGCACTACTGTGGCATATTCTTAGTGAGTGTAAAATGTTTGTCATCTTTCCTGATTCGTTTGCCTTTGGAAGCTAATCTGATCCGGATTCCTCTTTGTAACGTGATGTATTGCCTCACAATACACTTAATGTTAATACAACAAGAAGCTCAGAGAAAAGGAATTGCAGTACAAGGTGAGAGTGAATAACTGGGGACAGAAATCAGCGCTTAAGTGTGCCTGCTGTTTGCCATGCTTAAAGAGCAAAAACACCTGGTGGGTCTCTTTAATCCCAGGGAAATGAGGACTTTTTGAAATAATAAGCAGCCCACGTATCTACTTTTTATTGTTTAGTACCCTAAACTGTACCATTTTGTTAACAAGACACTTAATTTAGATCCTTACCCTTGATTAGAGATGGATTATTATTCTTTTTCCAGTTCCTGAATGTGTTCCCTCTAGGAACTTGATATACCTCTGACTGAAGAACTCTCTTTTTAGTCAAATGCTCAACTGATGTGTCATCTCAGGGTAAGTTGTTGTGGTTTTTTTATGATAGACTGGGGATAGAAACATTAAGGTATCTACTATGACTTAAAAAAAAAAAAAAAAAGGAAAAATGATCTTTTACATAGTAATCAATGGAAGTTCTAAACGGCATATAGACCTGCTTCTAGGGGACAGCAGTTTGATACTGCCAGCACTCTAATAAAATCCTTCCTCAGAATTCTCAGGTCTGTATTTGGTGTAGTTTTAATCCTCTAAGAGGATGCGAAGCTTCCCTATATGATAGTGATTAGAAACATTTGTTTCAGAGTTCAGATTCTCATCATGATAGCAAACAGCAGAGCTTTTAAGAAAAATACACAACTAGGAAAGTGGTAACCTGGATCACTCCCTTATTCTATAGAAATGAAAAAATTAAGCATAATTGACTGCTTTATTTGTGCAAATAACCTCCCCCATATAGCTTAGGCTGAATAATGTACTTGAATGCACATCTCGCAGCAGCTTGGTGTGAGAAATAGAATGTCCTGCTAAAAACAGTTTGTATATTGCAGTCTGCATCCAGCCTGCTGTACCGAAACGCTGTACTCCTCCCTTTGCTATGTGTCCCACCAGTAAAATCATATAAAAACCCTTCGTGCAGACGTAGTTTGTAAGAGAGCAATTCAAGAGAGCGCTGAGAAAGCCCGCTGCTAGCACTATGGCATGACGGCGGCATCTTGCTGCCCCTCAGCTACTGCTCCTGTTTGGGTGCGGGCGTTCCCGGGGCCCGCGGGCGTTCCTAACTGACTCTGGGCTATCTCCTTCCCTGCTTGCACTCCTGTCGGTTACAGGAGCAGGGAGGAACCGCTGCGGGCCTGCAGCGGCGGGGGCCCGGCGCAGAGGCGCGGCCTACCTCTTGGCTGCGGCCTCGCATCCATTATGAGCTTGTAATGGAGGTCTGCAAGAGAGGGGGGAGGGGGGGGAACGCTTTTCACCTCAGCTCTGCCCTTCCCTGTTTTCCTCACCGCTACCCGGCGCGGCAGCCGGCCTGAGGCGCGGGGGGCCGCCCTCGG